CTTACGAAAACATGCATGAAATCAGAAGGCTTCATTCGTTGACTGCTTCTCTGCCGTATGCTCATGGTTGTTTTATCGTTAATCAAAGAGCAAATAATTCATTTTTAAGTTGACAGCATTTCAAACGTTTCGAAAAAACAATCGCATCTAATAAGTTGCTTTAATCATTGTTTGCTACCATTATTACCTTTTTTTTTCAATGAGTGTGAGCTACGTATGGCTTGATTTTATGCTTTTTCAAAATTCACATGGCAACTCAAATATGTTGCATTTACAGCGGAAGAAATGTGTCACTAAAGCTAGATGTTGATTGTCTTGGTCATTGGTTTCTATTCTTTCTGAAGAAAATTCAACAGTTCAACAGGACAACGAATATATTTTACAAGACAAAATACGTGTTTAATTTAAAAACTATTTTTTCGTAGGTTTTCAAATATGGCGTATACTTATATAGCTCGTCAAAGAAAGCTGCTAGCATTCTACTTCATATAAGAGTAACATACAGGACTGACTTTGGATGTTGTAACGATATTTATCAACTGCCGATACTATTATCATACGTTTTGTTGCTGAACTTATATGCACGTCTCATGTAATTATTTTTTTCCATGCAAACGACTACTACCTATCTATAAAGGAGAACTAGAAAGACGAGCATGAACACATAAGCATGCAAACGTTTAGGACGGCGAAAGTTAAGCATGTAAAAATATGAAGTTAGATATTGTGTCTATTGAAAGGCCAATAAATGTATATGGGTGTGATGATGGAGTGTGAGTATGCATCTTTTATTTACTTTACTGACACCCACATCCATGCTATAGCCAGTGAGTAAAAATCTTCATCTACATCAAGATCTTTTCAATGCAAATATCAATCTTGAAAAATGAACTCGAGTTTATTCGAAAACATACCAGTTACACATAGAATAGTATGAAAAAAATATTTAACCAATGATATTTGTGATGTATTGTAGAACGTGAAAACTTTTATCTATTCATGTTATCACAGCATTCGTAAAGACTTTATCCAAGTCCTATAATAATTTGCTTTTTGTAGACGTATTGAACGAATCAAATTTGATTTTTTCGAAAATTCTCACTTTTTTTTATTCGATTATAGATTGGCTTTAGCTATTAGTGCATCTCAATCATGATGTTCAGTTTTTTTTTGCTAATTCGATTATATTGACAATAGTAAAATTGACTAGTTCGAATTGGCATACATTTGGTGCCAGAAGAAGTCACAGAGTTAATGTGAATCGATAGAATTCTTCGAACTCATTGAAAAATAGGCGATTCATATTTCTCAATACTAGTGTCATGATTGAGTCGTTCATGAGCTAAAAAGAAAACTATTTCTCATTCGAAAGAAAATTAAGTAAAAAAAAAAAGTTGAGCGACGATGAAACTAGCGTATAGACGAATGCAAAACACATCGAAAAGTACCATTGCCATATCGAAATCACTATAGTTAAATTGAAGACTTCGATTATTTGATGTAAAAGCACCGTCAATAAAATATAAGAACTCGAGAGTGATGGCTCGTTGACTATTGTTGGTAAAATGCAATTGATTCGTTTTTCTGAAATGAATAAATGATGAGTTGAGTGGTTCTTTATTTAGAAATCATTTCGAACGATTGTTATATAATGATCCACCATTAACAATAGAACATAGCATAGAGGAGATTTGTATCATATCCATTCTATCCAGCTGAATAAGCACCATCGGACAATTTTTGCTTAACTACGAATCAGTTTGAACTCAATACGTGACATAGGTTTGATGAACCCATTGAGAGATGTATTCACCGGTAAAACTGCATGAACAGCATATGCATCAGTGAGTTGTCTGAAACGTTGATAGAGATCATGAAATGCATGGTAAACGTCGGGTATGCTGAGTTACAGAAAGATGAGCAAAATGATTTCAACGGGCAATATTACGACTGCACTACAGAAAAGAAAGAATCACTCAATTGTTTTCTTTTTTCTTTCAACTAACTTGACTTTACCTCAATCGAGCAATGCCTTGATTATCATTTTTGTGCTGTACGATAAGAAATGTCTGACTGAGTTACTTAGTACAACAGTTTTTTATGTCGTTAGAGCCATGTCAGAATTATCTAGTTGATGTTTTTCGTAGTCAGTTAACCAATCTTCTATCGATCAAAAAGCAAATGTAACCGTCCATGAAGAAATTCAGTAGGTTTACAGGAAAACGTAGAAAGAAAGAATATTCAACAGGATAACTCTAAATATACTAATCAAGAGAATATATCTATTAGCTCTTTTCTTTTGATACGTTTGTTTTTAAGCCGACTAGTGGTACTGGAAGATGTTGTTACAACTCTTTTACGTAAGTCGTTGATATCAGTGCCGACGTTTTAGAGGCTAAGTATACACAAAGTATTATAATGGATTTGAGATCATTCTTCCACCAGACGGTTGCTCATTAAATACTTGTTTGCATGGTATTTGAATATACGGTCGATGATATTTTCAGACTTGTAAGACTATCACATCTGGAAAACTGCCAACATCTTATTATTTTAAAAATGATACTTAATAATTATAAACTAATATCTAACTATTTATGTATTCTTGTATACTCTCAAATGCAGAAAATCAGCGAATTCAATCTGCTAAGCAACATTTTGCACTCAGCTACAGAGCTGATATTGTTTGATAATTTGTGTCGAAATGTCTGCTCATTTAATGATTAGACACAGCCAACCGAAAAGAAATCTGAAATGCAAATTTCATTTGCTTACCGATCATTACAAGGAAAGCTTGATAATGAGATTCCATCACTTTTATTGGCTAGTGAGATCCATCGGGATTTGTTTTCATCTCTTCATCGTTGTACTAAACCAATTCCTTTGCCAAAAAAGTGATTACTCAGATCTTTCAAATTCGTGAAATATTTAATTGAAGCGGCGTTCTGAATTTTACACTTCTTGGTCAACTACTAATAGGTTATCTTCTACGAGCTCAGATAATTATCAGCGATTTTCTAGTTGAAAACGGTTTTGAAATAAGAGAACTGCCGTTCTTCTGCTTGACATTTTTAACTTTTAGAAAAGTGTTCTATCTTAGTTGAAATTACGCTCTTCATTCATTATGAAGGCGCTTCAAAAAACTTGTACTAATCACATCGATTATTCTTACTTAATTTATAAATGTGATTGTTTAGTATAGAAGGCGTCACAAAATTATTCAGTAGTCGACATATTAAACCAATAGAAATAATTACAGCATCATGTAACAATAATATAGAAAGGGTGATAAAAAAACTGATATGAAAAAAAGTAAATAGTTTGAACTTGCGACTTTTTACTAGTTGTAGTTAATCGTCGATTTTGTCAACAAAAGGCAACATGGGTTTATTTTACTTCTCAGAATGACCGAAATTCAGATTTTTGGTTTTCTTTTGTCGTATTGAATGACTCGAGACTAGAATTATTAGAGTTTACTACTTAATCGGATAAATTTCTAGAAGATTTGTGAGAATCTTGTTGGTCTCAACTACTTTTCGGGATGTGATTTTCTAGAATGCACAAAGAAAAGATTCTCGGTTGTGAAAACGTTATGGTGTTTTTTTTACCTCTTGTTATCCATAAGAAAAGAACAGAGAAAAAACTCCACACAACGAAGTGAAAATTTTCACAATTATTAAAAAAACATAACGAATCAGATTCCGACAGAGGTATACAAGGTTTTATAGAGTTGATATGATCGGTTGGATGATAAGATTTACCGTTGATTCGAAAATATGCTCTTTCTTGTCAAATGTTCATCTTAATACCGTCTTTCAATCATATTTACTGTTCTTAGCAATAGATCGTGTGAGAATATTGATGAATGCAGCAATGATCTTAATCCTCACTCATCACACCCATTGATATCCATATCGCTATGCTACTGTGCCCGATGACTTACAAAATAAAAAAAAATTTCATCACTTCTATAAATTTTATGTAAAAACATGAAAAAAGATTTGCACTTTCGATGATGAAACGAACATAAACCTTAATATTTTTTTCAAATTCATTGACTAAAAGCGATATTTTAGTTTAAAAAACGCAGTGAATTTTATTTTTAATGAAAAACTAACAAGGAATTTGCTAATCGAACAACAAGATAAAGCATAAGAAAGTGGATTTTGAGCATCACCTGTTGAAGTAATAAGAAACTTTCTCTTTGCTGAAAACCAACTACAAGGACTTTATGTATTGTAGTTACCTTCATCAATGTGTTACGTTTACAAATATCAAGTTATGTCGAAAGTAGCTTTAGTTCTTGTAAGAGGTTTCAAAACAGGCGTGTTTGTTGATACGAAAATTCGGCAATCAAAAATCTATAGTAAAATGTAACCTGCATTGCGTGTGAGACACTTCTTCTTCGTAATACTTATTTTTCTATACAAAACTGTAACTAGGTATGTAAGTAAAAACATGCATTTCTCTATGTTGTCAACTTAGTTGATTAACGTATATCGTTACGTGAACAGATCGATAAAAAAATATTTATATATGACATTGAATATACGAGAAAAAAAACAAAATAGAAAAAGATATCAAATATATTTATTACATATCGCTTTATTACAATATCAAATTCGTTGGTCGCACAAGTATTCTTCACCTCAGTAATGAGTTATATCATATGTATGTGGATGCTTGGATGCATATTGTTCCTGCTAATTGATAACAATATTCGAATAATACCATTGTTTCGATGTAAGAAACCTTTCTTTTTTTCTTACAAAATATCGTACGTTACTGCGAGAAGTACAGAAGAGAAGAAAAAAAAAGACAAACAATGACGATAATAAATCAACTCTACAACGCAATGAAAACAGTGAGAAGCATTTATTTTATCGTCAATCTTCATTATTATTCAGCTCGAATTATCAAAAAAAACAAAAATTCAACACTTTATAGCAAAAAAAAGAACACAAATATACCTTTAATACATCCCATAAAAACAGATCACACTATGTGTGATTACTGTATCGTTTATCGGACAGAGATATTTTATTTGTATGATGATAACGATTCGAAATAGTTGGAAGAGATGAAGAGGAATTCTTTGAATGATTTTTATCAATCATCATTAAAGCAGTCGTTGTAGAAGACGGTGGAGTTTTACTAAGTGTTGGCGTGATATGACCACTGGAAGGAGGTGTTGGAGTAGATGGAGAAGGAAAAGCACCAACCACAAGTGAATTATTAGATATTGTTCGTTTGTGTGCTAATTTCGGAGAAGATAGTAAATCAGCTTGAGATTGAGAACGACCAAATTGAATGTTACTTGTTCGTAATTTCGATAATATTGTTGATGATGGAGGAACTAATGGAGTATTCGATGTTTGACGCATTTGATTAGAATCAGTCAAATACGATGTCTATAACATATAAATGTAATTAGATATTTGAAAGTATTTGAAAAAGTCTATTACTCTTTCATTCTGTTTAATTCGTACATGAATATTAGATGAGATAACACTTGATTCATGTGCGACATTGTTTGAACGTCTCGGGGTCTATTATAAAGAAATTGGTTAACAAATGTGAAGAAAAATGATCAGATGAAAAATTTCATTCATTTTTCAATTGAAGAACAACGTAGAAAAAAAAACAAGTAACCTTAAGAGTATCAGATGTAAATCTATTTGTTTTAATATTTAATTTATTCCGATCAACATTTGATCGTCGTTCTGGTGTATTAACTTTAATTTGATTTGATGTTGTTTTCATTTGATGATCAACATGATTTTGTTTAGTTGGAGTTGAAGGTAATGGTGTTTGTGATTGATTATTTGGCATTGATTGCAATATTATCTCATTACTACTTGCATTTAATAATATTGTAGTATTATTTTCTGACATTGTTCGACGTCGTTCATTTTCAGCTTGAAATTCTTTCATCATTGTTATTATATCTTTAGCTGGTCCTTTATCTGATCGACCCTGAACATAATAGAAAATAAATAAATAAAAAACAACAACAACTATCATCTCATTGAAGTCTACCGTTAACCATGGATGTACAGTTAATTCACCCATTGTTCGACGATGAACTGTATCATAAATAAGCATTCCTTGTAAAAAATCAAGTCCTATCAATAGAAAAATTTTTTTTTTTGTATTCCATAGAATAATAATAAAACCTTCTGAAGATAAATTTTTAAATTTTTCAGAATCATATCGAAGTTTTTGTGAACGAATTATTTCAAGTAAACGTCTTTCATCATTAGCAACATATGGATGACGACCACAAATTCTATTTTTATTATTATAAAATAATATCAATTAAATAAAATCTCAAGACTTACAAATAATACATGATAATTCCTAAAGCCCATACATCACAAAGAGCACTATAATTTTTGTTGTCGAGTATTTCCGGTGCCATATAACTATTCAAAATAGATGATTATTAATCTTGTTTTATATTTAAAAATAAATAACTTACAGTGGAGTTCCACAATAATCATTAAAAAGTGAATCAGTATTAGTAATACTTTTTTTTGAACTTAATCCAAAATCAGTAACCTTTATTTATTTTTTCATATATAAGAAATTCTTTTAGAAATTCAGAAAAAAAAAGATAACATACTCGAATATCAAATTCATCTGTTTTACTTTTTGGAGTATTTTTTAATAAAATATTTTCTAATTTAAGATCACGATGTACAATATCTACAGACAATAGAAAAAAAAACATAGAAAAAAATAAAAATAAAAAAAAAAGAAAATTGAACTTAACCCATTTTATGAAGATAATACAAAGCATTGACTAATTTCGACATAATTTGTTTGACGGTTTCTTCTGGTAATGGACCAATCTTTTTTAGATGCATACCTAGTTCACCACCTTCACATAATTCAACAATTAAATAAAGATTCTAAAAATCAAAATTTTTCCATTGATAATTCATTTTATTTGAATTGAACAAAATAGATTGTAATTTTTTTTTCCTTTCAATATCAAATGAGTCATAAACAAAGAAAAACTAAATAACCTGAGATGATTCAAGTACTTCATGAAGTTGAATTAGATTTGGATGATTAACTTCTTTTAATAATTTAACTTCATTATCAAGACTTGATGCTTTAGATTTATTTCCAGGCTAAAATAAAAATATTTAAATTAATAAAAAACAAAATAAAAATTTTACTTTTTTAGGAATTGTTTTCATAGCATAAAATAAATCTGTTTCTTTATTTCTAACACGATAAACAGTTCCAAATGAGCCTTCACCTAATTTATTTTCAATATCATATTTTGTTTCAAGTATTCCATCATCATAGAGACGTGTATGAGTTATCTGACGAGTAGATAATATCGAAAATTGTTTACTCGTTCCTTTTGCCATTACACTAAGATAGTTGGTCAAAAGAACTAAAATAAGCAAAAAAAAAAAAGAGATTTAAGAAAATCTAGCTTGTTTAAACCTTTACTAACAACGTCTTTGGTGACAAGTGATAACAACAGTAAAGGATGTTTGACGACCAAAACATTCATTAACTTCTCCTAGGTAAACAAAAATAAAGGAAACCTTATGACTTGAATTTCTCTGTAATCAAGAAGAAGAAAAAAAAAGAACTTCAATTGGTCACAAACATCGAACAATTCTTTTTTTACGGCAAAAAACAAAAAAAGAATTTCTTTTTCTAACTCAAACCGCCGCCATTCTTACAAATAATCATTGTTCGCATAGTAAAGTGTAAGAGAAAGCTGTGAATTTATGTGCGTATTAGTATCTCTGCTTTGCTCAAACACATAAATTTACAGAGAAACATTTCTAACGAAAACAAACACTATAGGCAAATTTTTTTTCTTTTTCTTTTTTTTTTTCTTGTTTCTTTTAAAGTAAAGAAAAGAAAGTAATGGTATTGCTCACTTCAAACTAAGAAAATGTTATTCAAAGTCTCTATATTGGAATCGGCATATTTTAATTGATGCACTCGACAATGAAACAAATATGTAATCGGATATTCATAACGATATGTCAAATTTCTCTTTGTTTTCTTTTTTTTCAAATCAAAATATTTCTCTTTCATATTACACTAATGAGAAAATTTGTTTTATTTGACGCTTTACTAGTTCAATGTATTCATTTTACTCGATATTTGACATTTCATATATGATGAAATGAAAATTACTTAACAAAGAGACTATTAAAATTATGAGATATATCTATTCTCTGTTATAACGAAATATTTTTTTTTCGATTTATTTAGTTAATAAAATAATAATGCTATTTAAACTCTTTTGTCAACATATCGACTTCTAAAAATATCATTAAATTCTGCTAAAGATTATATTAAAAGATATCAACTATCTTGATTTCGAGTGCATTCACCTTTTTATACTTTGATAGATAAACTAACTTCGTTAACAAATAAATATTGGTTTAATTTTTGATATATGATAGAAAAGCGCATATATACATTCGAGCGTTACCTTTCATCATCGTATTAAGAAAATAGATTTTGAAAAAACCTGATTAATGAAAAAAAAAATCGTAATATGTGAAATAACAATTTTTTGTGCGTATAGACGTCAATATCTATATTATGACATTTTATTCCGTTAAAAGTCCCACAAGTGTCGATCCGCTCAATCGTTTTTATCGTTTCTTTTCATTACATTATTTTCCTGTTGACACACGACAGCAAACCCACCGACAATTTCCGTTTGATTGATCGATCTGAGAGAAAGAAAAAAAAAACGTATGTTACAAGGTTTCATGATTCAAACATAACCTCCATACATACATTGATCATCATCACCATTATAATATGCTAGTCTCTTTTTGTTACCTTAGTTACAAATCTTCAAAAGTTTGATTCATATAAATAAGACAAAAATATTTTATCGATATATCTTAAAACTTAATTAATTTTTCAACAATCAATAATATTATTTAGATTGTGACTATTGTAGATGTCGTTTTTTGTTCAAGATTTACTGAATTTAATTTTTTTTTAAAATTCTCTTTAAGAATTTTTATTATTCATAAAAAAAGTTTTTGATAAAAATTTCTTGTTGACATTCGATATATATATATCAAATAATGACTGATAAAATCTCTATTGGTTAATTATCTTAATGTCGTATAAAAAGAAAGAAAGCAAATAAGCAAACAAAGAATCTAAATTGATTCCTATAAAATAAAAATTTAATATCAGGATGAGTTGTGATGTCGATGGCCTCCTTGAATTTCTGCTTTATGTTGGTCAAGCAAAACGAACATTTCGTACAGGTTGGATATTACATGGTGTTGAAAAAGTTGAAAGTGTAGCTGATCATATGTATCGAATGGCTGTTATGTCACTTTTATTACCAACTGTACCAGAAGAATCAAAAGTTCGTTGTATGAAATTAGCACTTGTACATGATTTAGCTGAATCAGTTGTTGGAGATTTAACAGAATTTGATGGAATACCTAAAAGTGAAAAACATCGAAGAGAAAGTGAAGCTATGCTTTATTTAACAAGTTTATTACCAGCAGATGTTGGAAGAGAAATATTTTCTCTTTTTAATGAATATGCTGATCAAAAAACAAATGAAGCAAATCTTGTTAAAGATTTAGATATATTTGATATGCTTTTACAAGGTAAATTTCAAAAAAAATTCATAGAATTTTTATTGAAGAATATTTATTATTTAGCTTATGAATATGAAAAACTTCAATGTGAAGATGGATTTTTAGAAGATTTTTTTGATAATTCAGTTAATAAAATAAAAACAGATATTGTTCGTAAATGGCTTAAACAATTAGTAGAATGTCGATCATCAGGAAAACTATTTCAATTACCATCAGATTCAAATCTTAATACAATGCTGAAACATATTCTTTATGATGATCAAGGTTCGTGTTGTTTTTTTGTTTTTGTTATTAAAGAGAACCGAAAAAAAAAACAGATTTTATATTTTATTTTAATGAATAGGAACATTCTTATATAAACTTCCGGCATCTAATATTCGTGAAAAATCAAATCGTTTTATTTCAAATAAAAATAAAATCGATAATTCATCATTAGATACCACTGAACTTTTGACAAGTCTTGTCAAAGATATAAAACATTAACATTAATTAAACATTTATTCTTTTAAAAGCAAAACATTTATTGATTAGAATTTTAAATTGGTTGTTTTTTGCTTTTTTTCTTTTATTTGTTTTTGCTCATATTGACAGTTAGTGATGGGTGTCTATATTATCATTATATATTGTTCTATTGTACAGTATTATTATCTTTTTATTTCCATTTTGTGTATAATAAACAAAAAAAAGAAGCATAAATGTGAACGCTTTTAATATCTATATTTTAGATTTGAAATTTCCTTTTTTTTTTTAAATAAAACATAACTTGATCAATTTGAATGTATAATAAAGGATTAGTCATTAAAATTTCAATTCAATGACTTAATCTTCTAGTATTATAATTAAACATCATGAAAGAAAAAGACGAGATTCATTTGAATTTAATTCAAAATATCGAACTATTATTGTTGTAAGTCATTTTTTTTAACGAACAAAGCGTTTATTTTATTTTTTATTTCGTTGCAGGTCTAAGATAGATATTTCTGAGTATGATGATGCAAATAAAATTTATGATATTCTTTCCAAACAAGTATTTTAACTGTAAAATAAGATATTTAAATCAAGATTGATTTCATATTAAAAAAAGCAAGTTTTGTTATAAGCATTAGAAGATTTAAAGCGTAAAAAGAAAGAAATTTCAGCAGATAGTTTACACGAACAATCATCATCATCAATAACAAATACTGCCAAGTTCGATTATATTACAACAGCTTTATACAAATAAAGATGAATTTTTACTTTCGATTTAGTTGTTAATTATTCGATGCTTCATGTGTTTCAACAAATACTCTCTTTATAAATCATCCCTCATTTTCTTCACGTCGTAGTTCATTACTAACAGTTGATCATAAATCAGTTATTAATGCTTCTATTCCATTTAAAACTGTTTCTTCTCGTTCATCTTCGGTTTGTTTGTTTTTTGTACGTGACATATATTGGTCATCTAATGATCAACAAGGATATCATATTTTCCAATGTTAGTTAATTTCAGTCAATTATCATCAAATTCAGTCAAACAACCAAATCGTTTGTTTAATAATTGTAATTCAACATATAAAAATGATTTATCAGCTATATTTGATGATCAATATAATGATGCAGAACGTAAATCATTTATATTCAGTTATTGAATTAGATAATACTATTCGACGATAGACTAGAAATTTTCTTTTCTTTTTCTTTATCTTTTTTTGTTTTCATTTATTCAAAATCAATTAATAAAAATCTCTCTGAAAAATCTTATTTCAATGTTAATATATTTTAAATTATAATTCTAGAAAAAAGAAGAAGAAACATAATTATAGGAGCAAAACAATATGTAAACATATATAAATGTAACTGACAATGAAGAATGTTATCAAAAAAGATAAATTGATCTTGTGATGGTATGTAAATCATCATATAAGAATATTTTCTAATAAATGCTCTTTAATGAAATGTATTATTATGACATTTCATATTAATCATACTTTTAGGAAGATTAGTCATAGAATTTTATTAGAAATAATCTCTCATGATAATACATTTAAGTATTTGAATATTTTCTTTCGTAACATATCATTTAAAATCTTCAAATATGCATAAGAAATACGAAAATATAATACAAGTTACTTTGCGATTAAATATAAAAATCTTGATTAGTTCCCAAATAGTCATATATATGTTGTAAGCCACAATAGGATAGAGTGATTAGTAATTCAAACCGCAACTGATCCTCATTAAGTTCAAGGCATAGCATAGTGAAGAATGATATGAATATCAACTAAATAGAAAATAAATTTTGCTTATTCTTTCATTATTCTACAACACATGATGTTTTTATGATAATTTGTTGAGCAGAAAACTTGATTATTCTTACAAGTACACTGGTTATTGTTACATCCTGCTTTACTTCAACAAGAGGCACCGTTAATAGCGCCTCGAACATAGAATTTTAATGCAGTGTTCATCAAGATTTCGTGTAAACCAGCCCATTGTACATGAATAAGTTGATAAAGTACAACAGACGAAGCTAATAAAGCATCCGTTATCTATCTTTCATCAATACTTCCATGAACACATACCATAATATTACTTTTATTAGATTATCAATCAACATATGATTTACAATCTATAATTCTTGTTCATCATTTTCTCCAATATTTGTATACGCATAACATGGATCACTCTTACACTGAAAAATCATATGTAATGAAGCAAATTTATCACAGTTTGCTCTAGATGAAACTTAGATTGATTTGATAAAAAAAAAACAGGACAATCTT